AAACTCCTGCAAATACTCCTTTTTTGGCATTAAACTCGACGTTTTTAGGCGTTAAAAATACCTATGATGTTAATGCCTTCTGAAAATATGACATGAAGTTTTGAAGATTGTTTATTCTAAATAACATAAGTATCAAATTGCATATATATATATGTGCACATACCACTTTGCTTACCGGGCTTTAAGAAAAAATGTTTTTCTTCAATATGTTATGTATCTCAGAGAGGGAGAGAGAGGGAGACATACGAAAGATTAGAGAAAACCATCCATTAGCTGCTACATGCACACCCCACTCTGGGGATGGAGCCCACAACCTGGTTTGTGCCCTGACCGGGAATGGAACCGCACGACCTCCTGCTTCATAGCTCAAAGTTCAACCACTGGGCCACAGGGGCCTGATGGAGGGCACGCGGTGTCTTTAATGGTCTATTCTGCAGTCATAGCTCCAAAGAACACAGACAAAAGGTACTTTTGCTTGAAAGTCAGAGGTGCACTTACCAGGCATTCCAGGCTCTGGGGCCTCCGGGAGGGACTCTGCTCTCGAACCCTCACCCCAAGCCTGCGACCCTGCAGCCACGGTCAGGCGGCCCCAGGACAGGGGACGCCTGATTCACTACTTCCTCTGCCTCCTGAAGTGCCTCTTCCCAGGCCTCCTGCCGCTGCCACCTCCCTTTCAGGCCGTCCCCGCCTGCAGCCCCGCAAGCCGGCACAGCCGCCACCGCGTTTCTCTCTGAGAGAAAATTACCCATTTCCATTGGTTTCAGCGATGGGGATCCACATCCACGGCGAGAATCGGCTGCCTCAGGAACCTCCACACCAGGCGTGGCGGCCCCAACCCGGGCATCGAACCAGGAATCGGACCTGAGACTTTCCGATGCACAGTCCGAAGCTCAACCACTGAGCCACACTGCAGGGGCGCAGCCAGGTGCAATCGCTGTGCCGCGGAGAGAAAGACTGCTTGGCTGCGGGCTGTTAACTCTGTTAACTCAGGGTTCCCACCGCATTAACTTAGCGCTCCCACTGCATTTGCATGGGTTTGATCCACCCCTGAGGAGGGGGTCCCCCTAGCTCCCCATCTCTTGGGGTTTGGAGGTCCTGGGCGCCTCGGCTCCGTGCCCTGTTCTGGTGGCCTCCCGGGGGCCGTCTCTGCAGCATGGAGGGTTCCCGATTCCAGACATTAGGATCAGCCACTTCAGCAAAGCGTTGAAGGGCTCCAGTCTGTGACAGGTTCCAGGAGGGGGGCAGGGAGAGGCGAAGACTCCATGCAAAGTGCACCTCTCACGGGAAGAGGGTGTCGGCGGGCTCTCTGGCCGCCTGCCGAGGGCATTCCTGGGACAACGGGCCACATTGCGATCCCGTCAGAGGACTGGAGGGCAGACACGAATCAGAGTGAACCCCGAAGGGGATGGTTTTGCGGAGAAGGCCCTGGTTTATAGGAAATCGCCCCTGCTATTTGGGAGAAAACATTTGCGGGGTCACAATATATAACATGGGTAATTTCAGATTGCGTGAAGAGAGGCCTTTTTGCTATACTTGTCACTTTACTGTGGTTTTGCTTTGGGATGGCTGGGCAAAAAAACAAGAAAAAAACCAAAAAAAACCCCACCGCACACAAAAGTTTAAGCGGTGCAATACCAGATGTGTCCACAAGACGGCGACATAACATTCCCAAAAGCCGTGTTACCAGGTATATGGATTAATAACAGGGATTTTCCCCCCATAGATGCAGTTATTAGTAAACAACTAAAACTCCCTGCAAATGCTCCTTTTTTTGGCATTAAACTCGACGTTTTTAGGCCTTAAAATATCTATGATGTTAACGCCTTCACAAAATATGACATGAAGTTTTGAAGATTGTTATTCAAAATAGGATCCGTATCAAATCACATATATATCCATCCACATATGTGCACTTGCCATTATGCTTACTAGGATTTAAGAAAGTCTATTTTTTATTTTTTTATTTAAAAAATATATCTTATTGATTTTTTACAGGGAGGAAGGCAGAGGGATAGAAAGCTAGGAACATGGTTGAGAGAGAAACATGGACCAGCCGCCTCCTGCACACCCCATCACTGGGGATGTACCCAAAACCAATGTACGTGCCCTTGACTGGAATCGGACCTGGGACCCCTCAGTCTACAGGCCAACGCTCTATGCACTGAATCAAACCGGTTGTGGTGAAAGGTTTTTTTTTTTCTGTTTTTTTTTTTTTTTTTTTTTTTTTTTTTTTTTTTTAATACGTTAGGGATCTCAGAGGGAAAAGGAGAAAGAGAGAGAGAGAAACAGCAATGATTAGAGAAAACCTTCCTTGGGCTGCATCCAGCACGCCCGCTCTGGGGATGGAGCCCACAGCCTGGCATGTGCCCTGCCCAGGAACCGAACCGCACGACCTCCCGCTTCATAGATGGAAGCTCAACCACAGAGCCACACTGCAGGGGCGCAGCCAGGTGCAATCGCTGTGCCCGGGAGAGAAAGACTGCTTGGCTGCGGGCTGTTAACTCTGTTCACTTAGGGTTCACACAGCATTAACTTAGCGCTCCCACTGCATTTGCATGGGTCTGATCCACCCCTGCCGAGGGGGGTCCCCCTAGCTCCCCATCTCTTGGGGTTCGGAGGTCCTGGGCGCCTCGGCTCGGTCCCCGGTTCTCGTTGCCTTCCGGGGGGCGTCTCTGCAGCCTGGAGGGTCCCCGATTCCAGACATTAGGATCAGCCGCTTTAGCAAAGCGTTAAAGGGCTCCAGTCTGTGACAGGTTTCAGGAGGGGGACCGGGAGAGGCGAAGACTCCACGCAAAGTGCGCCTCTCACGGGAAGGGGGTGTCGGCGGGGTCTCTGGCCGCCTGCCGAGGGCATTTCTGGGACAACGGGCCACATGGCCATCCCGTCAGAGGACTGGAAGGTAGACACGCATCAGAGTGAACCCCCGATGCTGAAGGAGAAGGAGAAGGACATGGTTTTGAGGAACTTGCCCTTGGAAAACAATTATAACATTTGCGGGGTTACAGGGAATCACACGGGTCATTTCAGATTGCTCATTAAGAGAGATGTCTCTGCTACACTTGTCACTTTTCTGTAGTTTTGCTTTGGGATGGCTTAAAACAAAAAAAGTTTAAACGAACGACGCAATTCCAGGGATGTCCACAAGACGGGGACATAACATCACAAAAGGGGATTCGGAGACTCAATGCAGTGAGGTATCGGACAACGGTGATAGGCTGGAACAGAACTTTGGGTGGGACCTCGTGCTGGAGGCGGGGTTAGATATCCGGGGTTGTCGGACAGCGTCGATAGGCTGAAAAAGTCAATTGGGCGGAACCAAATTGGTGTCGAAAACGAGGATAGGCTGAACCAGGGTATAGGCAGGACTAAGTGTAGGAGGTGGGATTAGGCCAGAGCCCGGATATTCGGGCTGGTAGACAACGCGGATAGGGTGGAAAAGTTGATTGGGTTAGACCAAGTGGGTGTCGGACAACGCGGATAGGCTGGACCAGGGCTTATAGGCGGGATAAAGTGCAAGGGGGAGAGATTGGATTTGAGCCCGGATATCCGAGGGTGGCAGACAACGCGGATAGGCTGTATTAGAAATATGGGCGAGAACAAGTTCTAGAGGCGGGACTAGGTTAGATCCCGGATATCCGGGGTAATCGGACAGCGTTGATAGGCTGAAAATATCGATTGAGCGGTACCAAATGCTTGTCGGACAATGCGGATAGGCTGGACCAGGGGTAAGGCGGGACCAAGTGTTAAAGGCGGGACTAGAACGGAGCTCGGATATCCGGTTGTGGCAGAGACAGCAGATAGGCTGGAGAAGGGATATGGGCGGGAGCAAGCATTAGAGGCGGGACTAGATCAGAGTACGGATATTTCGGGTAGCCAAACAGTGCCAATAGGGTGGAAAAGTGAATTGGGCGGGACGAAATGCATGTTGGACAACGCGGATAGGCTGGATTAGGGCTATGGGCGGTACCAACTTTTGGAGGCGGTACTAGACCTGAGCCAGGAAATCCGGGTATGGAGGAATACTCGGATAGGTTGGACCAGGTGTAAGGGCGGGATCAAGTGCTAGAGGCGGGACTAGAACGGCGCTCGCATATCCGGGTGTGGCAGAGAAAGCAGATAGGCTGGGAGCAGGGATTTGGGCGGGAGAAAGTGCTGGAGGCGGGACTAGATCTGAGCCAGGAAATCCGGGTATGGAGGAATACGGTGATAGGCTGGACCAGGGCTATGGGCGGGTGTGTTTGGAAATGCGGAAGGACTGGACCAATTGCTCGGGCCGAAGGGGGAGACTGTAGTGAGGCGAGGGCAAATCTTTGGGGCGGGGTGGGGCTCAGTTTAGGGCTCATTGGGTAGGAATCCGGGAACAACTTCGGGTTTTTTGTTTAACTCGTTCTTTTAAAGAAATATTTTTATTGATTTCAGAGAGAGAGGGAGAGGGATAGACAGAAACATCAATGATGAGAGAGCATCACTGATTGGCTGCCTCCTGAGGATGGAGCCCTCAGCCAGGCAAGTGCCCTGAGCGGGAATCAAGCTGGGACCCTTCAGTCCACAGGCCACACCAGCCAAGGCTAATTCATCTTTTAAAAAGTGCTGTTAATGGACTTCACAGAGAGGAAAGAAGAGGGAGAGGTCCAGCCCGGCCAGGCACCTGCCCAGGAACCCAGGGGTTCGAGTGGGTGGACGGGGGAGGGGGTGAAGCCGTACAAAGTGCCCGTTACACAACAGTCAGGGGTATAACGTGCAGCATAGGGACTGCAGACCGCTTTCCTCTGTCTGAAATCAGTTAAAACCGATTTTAAAAAAGCAAGCCATCATTATAGGACTTCCTCTCTGGCTCCTAGGTTTTTGCCCTACGAATGTACACAGGCCGACATTTCCTCCGTCCGGAGGAGGCGCCGAGGCTCCTCATTTCTGAAAGGAAAATGGGAACCACCGGATGCAGGAAGTAGAAATGAAACAGCCACAGACACTTCAAAGAATGGGCAAGACACAGCATGTGTCCGCTGGAAATGCTATTTTATTTTAAAACACACTCAGGTTAATAAATATTGGAAAACTTATTAGCCTTCTTATGTACATAAGGCAATCAATCACATGCTCGGACTACTGCTAGACAGCGGGACAGAAGCAGGTCTTAGCCGTGGACACGTATGTGTGTGTGTGTGTGTGAATGTGCACGCGTGATAACTGGAAGCCCCTGGCACATGTACACAGAAACCCTGTGACACAGCCCATCCACCTGTACGGGTTTCCATCTCCGTGTCTCCCTCCTTCATGATTATATCCCATTTCACAGGGAAGGAATGGCTATTTAAAGGCAAAAAAAAAAAAAAAAAAAAAAAAAAAAAAAAAAAGACTGAGGAATGATACTTAAAAACAGTAGCCTTAAGTGTTCCCAAAGTGCAGAAACAGTGGCGTGAGCGTGTGTGTGTGTTGGGGGGCTGCTATTCTATTCTGACAGATGACATGCCTTTCGCAGGTGACCCAGTAGTTGCCACTCGTGGCTCGGGAGCTCCTGACCCTCACCTGTGCCGGTGGTTCTGTCAGGGGAGGCAGCTGGGGAGCAGGAGGCTCAGCCTCCTTTATTGCAAATCACTAGCCATCGCCCCTCCCGCCGAGTCCCCTACACAGACCCTGCAGGGAACTCACCCCTGGCCCGGCCCTTCCTGCCCAGCCTCCGCCCGCCCAGGGGCAGCGGGATGCGGGAAACCCTGGCTTTTTAAAACAAAAGGGAGAACGGAAGCTTCAGGGAACAATGCCAACGTCTCGCCCGAGTGCCTACCCTTGGCTTCGTCGGTGCTGGAAGCAGCACGGTCCTGAGCAGACGGGAGGCCAGGAGGGCCCCCCCCACCATCACCGTCCACGGAGGCAGGCGCCCCGAGACAGGTGGGACCTCGGGAACCACCCCCCCCCCCCCTTTCGAGGTAGAGAAACGGAGGCACAGAAAGGCAAAGGGACTCCCTGCGAACGGAGAGATTCAGAGAAAGAGGGAGAAAAGAACATCGACTCTCCGGCCACGCTCTGGCCCTCGCACCCGCGCGGCCCTCACCGCGGAGATGTGCTGAGTGACCGTCCGTGCTCCTGGAGGGTCCATTTCCTGCTGGGTGGAGTGTTTTCTGATGGAACAAGCCGACATCTCCTTAGAATGGGATTATTCTGTTGCGTTGAGGAGCACGTGAGGCATGTGCATGGGAAAACGTGGGTGAGAGGCCAGGCCCTCCTCCCCGTGTCCATCCTCCTTCATCTGTTCACGCACCAGACGGAGGTGTGAGTTCGCCCCGAGGCTGATGGGCGGAGGGTGCAGACAGCGAGGAGGTGCTGTTCCCATGACGTCTGGTGGGCAAACGCTCTCTCCTTTCCGACTCGGGTCCGACCCCGGGCCCACGTCTGAGCAGAGGGGTTCCCGGGGTGATGTGGTCCCTGAGAAGGCAGAACGCCAGGTTCCGGCCGGTCCTGCTGGCGGGCGGGGGGCCAGAGCCCGGGAGCCCACCAAGCAGCTGGGAGCGGGGCTGGGCGCAGGTGCTTCCCTGTCCGGCTCCCCACTCGGCCACAGGAGGCCCAGGCAGGACCGGGCGGTGTGCAAAGGGAGCCGGGGGCAGAGGCCGGCCGGCGGGCCGAGAGGCTTCTCTCCCAATGAGATCACCCCGTCTCCACGGGCCAATGGGTCGCCCTCCCCGGAGACACAGCCTCCGGTCTAGGAACCGCCACGGGGGCTCGGCTGTGGAGAGAGAACCAGAGGCGACCACACCCTCCGGTGGTCCCTTCCCATTGGGAAACCCAGAGGGAAGAACAAAGAGCAATCGGGGCGCTGGGATGAGCTTCTGCAAATGAAGGCAAATGCGACCACGGCCAGGCCAGTGCGGCCCAGCGCCCGCGTCGAGCCGGAACCAGGAGGTCACGGCTCCCCCCGGTCAGGGCGTGTGTCCAGGATGCGGGCTCCGTCCCCAGGAGGGGGCGTGCAGGAGGCGGCCGTTCCACGGTCCTCTCTCACAGTGGATGTTTCTCCCCCCCCCACTCCCTTCCTCATTAAAATCAATAAAAACACGTATTTAAAAAGTAAAAATAAATAAAATAAAATAAGCCGCAGGGATGGCTGTCCTGAACCGCCTCCTCCTGTGACAGGAGCCTCACGGGAAGTCGCCGCCAAGCACAGGGCAGCGATCGGCGTGCGCACGGCGGCGTGGCCTGTCCCAGGCGCAGGCCGGGCCTGTCTCTCCCACGTCTCGTGGGCAGCTCGGCGTGTGTGCTCGTCCCGATGGGCCCCCGCCTCCTTCCGAACCACGGGGGACGCACAGGCCAGCCGCCGACCATGCCCTCCCTTCTGACAGCCGTGCGATCGGGGGTCAGAGGCCACGTCTTCCGAGCGGCAGGCTGTGCGGGGACAGAGGCGGACTCCGAGCGGCCGCCTGCTTCTGGCCACGTCCTCCTGGGGCAACGACGAGGTTCACACGGGGCCCAGCTCTCTCGTGTCTTCCGTCCTGACGCTGTCCCTTCCCACACGCCTGTCCTGACGGCTGCATGACAGCAGACGCCGGCCACGGGCGGACGCAGTGAGAACAGTCCGAGTGGAAAAGGCACTGAAATCCATGTGCGGCTGGCCACGGACGGACGGACAGATGTCCCGGCGTCGGGGAGGGAGCCGGCGGAGAGGACTGGACGCAGGCAGACGCGGACAGACGGCCGACACGCACGGGTGAGGGGGCCTTCCGGGCAGGGCCGGCCGCCCCCTCCCCGCGAGGCCCCTGCGCCGGCGGACGGACCGCAGGGAGCCCGTCTCTTTTCCACGAGAAATGACGCCAGGAGGGCGACGGGAACGGGGACAGCGTGACCCCTTCTCAGAGGGGCATGAGCCCGGGGAGGGCGAGGCCTCCGTCGGTCCCGGGACCGGCCCCGCCCCTAGTCCGCCTTCAGGTTGGCCTTGCCGGCCTCTCCGAGGCTGAAGTTGAACTCCTTGAACACCTGGATGAGCACGATGCCCACGGACACGGTGGTGAAGCCGCAGGCCATGCCCAGCGAGTCCACCAGCCCCACGTTGCTCCACTCACGGAAGAGGATGGCGGAGGCCAGCAGGACCAGCGTGGTGAAGACCACGTAGTAGATGGCGCCGAACACGGAGGAGTCGAAGCACTCGAGCGCCTTGTTGATGTAGCGGAACTGCACGATGATGCTGCAGCCCAGCACGGCCAGCAGCACCAGGCACAGCCCCAGCGCGCGCCGGCTGCTTGGGTTGCTGTGCAGCAGGTCCTGGGCGGCCAGCCCGATGCCCTTGGTGGAGGGCACGGTGAAGCTGCCCAGCAGCGAGCAGATGCTGATGTACACCATGATGTTGGTGGGCCCGTGGGCCGGCGCGATCCAGAAGATGAGCAGCAGCAGCGTGAGCAGCACGATGCACAGGTAGCCCACGAACACTGCAAGACACGGCGTTTACCTGAGGCCTGAGGGGTCCAGGGTTCGATTCCTGGTCAGGGCACAGGCCTGGGTTTCGGGCTCAGTTCCCGGGGTGCGGGGGGAGGGCGGGCATGCAGGAGGCAGCCAATCAATGGTTCTCTCTCATCATGGATGTTTCTATCTCACTCTCTCTCTCTCCCTTCTTTCCTCTCTGAAATCAATAGAAATATATTTAAAAAGACACTGATATCACACAAAAAAATGAATTAATAATGTTAACAATATATTTTAAAAAAGGTACTTATATTGATTTCAGAGACGAAGGGAGAAGGAGAGAGAGAGAGAAACATCCACGATGAGACAGAATCATCAGCAATGGCCAGTGTGGCTCAGTGGAGAGAGCGTTGGCCTGCGGATTCAAGGGTCCCAGGTGTCATTCTAGTTAAGAACACATGCCCGGGTTGTGGGCTCAATCTCAGTGGGGGGCATGCAGGAGGCAGCCGGTCCATGACTCTCTCTCATCAGGGATGTTTCTCTCTCCCTCTCTCCCTCTCCTTCCTCTCTTTCTAAAGATAAATAAAAACGTAGAAAAGAGAGCAGCCTCCGTGGGGAACGTGAAGGGAAGTCGCCCAGGGCCAGGGCTCCGTGTCACATGGTGGGGGGGCAGGGACACGGGTGGCCCCCAGCTCGAGGCCCAGGGTGGACCTGCCGGCCGGGCGGGGACACGGGGCGGCCTGCCCCGGCTGCCATGGCCTCGGGGCGGCAGAGGCTCACCTGGGTTGGTGAGCTTCTCCTCCAGCTCGGCCTGCGTGGTCACGCTCTCGGACTTGGGGGAGTGGATGATGAGCACGACGGAGCCCGCGCAGCTGAGCAGGCACCCCAGCTTGCCCAGGATGTTGAGCTTCTCCTTCAGGAGGTACGAGGCCAAAATGGACCTTTGGGGGAGGAGAGAGGGGTCCAGGCTGGAACCGGGCCTCCGACCAGCTCCCACCCAGGGAAACCCACCTTCCCCGGCGGCCGGAGTTTACTGTTTAGCTTATTAGAGTAGAACTTGGGTGTTAATTCAACACAAATAGGATTTTCATACGAATTCTACGCATAACCAATGCCCGGTGAAGGACTCCACTCATCGTTACTCAGCGGATAGGAAAGACACCAGGGTCACAAAGTTTTACAGCTGACAAAAATAAAAACGATGCACCTTATTAAAAAAAATAATACTATATTAAGGAGGAAAGTGGGATATTAAAATCGCTAAAACAATGACAAGTAACTCATGATCAAAACACGTAAGCCCTGGCCGGTAGCCCAGTGGTTAGAGTGGCCCCCGACGCTGCCCGGCAGGGTCATGGGTTGGATTCCCCATTGAGGGCATGAACCTGGGTTGCAGGTTTGATCTCCAGACCTGGTCAGGGCGCAAGCGGGAAGCAACCCATCAATGTGTCTTCTCTCTCTCTCTCTCTCTCTCTCCTTTCTAACTCTCTGAAGAAATCATATCCTTAGGGGCAGATTAAACAACTGAACGTGGAGGAATAAATTAAGTTCCAAAGAACTTCCGCTTTTCACTCTTTGATCAGAAACACTGAATGTAAACAGTTTGTATCATCATCCGTCCATCTAAACCCATCAGAAACCCAAGCACAGGGTCGCCCTCTCACCCGAACGGCACGCCGAGGGCACCCAGGGGCGTCACCAGGACCGTGGGCACCGCCGTGTACGCCAGGAAGTTCCCGATCTGGCCGACAGCCACTGCGGAGAGAACCAGAGGGCGTCACTCAGAGCCGCGGGCGGCGCCCGCCCGCCCCAGGGGCCCTCCCAGGAGAGCGTCTTCCTTCCGGGCCAGGCCCGTCCGTCCGGAAAGAACCCTGCAACGCAGCCGCCTGGCCGGGGGTCGCCGGTTCTCATCCCGGTCGGGGCACAGGCCCTGGCTGCGGGCTCCATCCCCAGTGCGGGGCGTGCAGGAGGCAGCACAGCCATGGCTCTCTCTCATCACGGACGTCTCTCCCTCTCCCTCTCCCCCTCTCTCTGAAATCAATAAACATCTGTTTTCTGGAAGGAAGGAAGGAAGGAAGGTCCAGCCCCCCACACACGGGGTACTTACTTGCGATGGTGCCTGCCCACCACACCACGTCTGTTAAATAGGAGGTGCCTGTGACAGAGAGAGACACATGTCAGGAAAGCAAGAAGCCGGAGGTGGCCCTGGCTGGTGTGGCTCAGTGGATAGAGCGTCGGCCTGCGGACTGAAGGGTTCCGGGTTCGATTCCGGTCAGGGGCATGTACCTTGCTTGCGGGCACATCCCCAGTGGGATTGTGCAGGAGGCAGCTGATCGATGTTTCTCTCATCGATGTTTCTAACCCTCTATCTCTATCCCTTCCTCTCTGTAAAAAAAAAAGCCATATATATATATATATTTTTAAAAAAAGACAAGCTTGATGCCATCTGATATGCCTTTAAAAAAAGTATTTTAAAAATGTAAAAGAAGAAGAAGGCAGTGGTTGGCGAGCTGAAGAAAAGAATTCCATCACAACTGAACCAGACACAGTGAGGATGCTCAGCGCCCCCCACCTGCTTCCAATGCCCCCTCCCGCAGCACACAGGGGGGTGGAGACTCCATCCCGACACAGCCTGGCCCCCGAGGGAGAGCTGGCACCACGGCCTCCTCTCTCTGCTTCGTGTGGAAACAGGCTCAGGTGAGCCAGGCCCGGCTTCTCACCCTCACCGCTCTCACCACCCTCCTTATCGGACATTCCCCTGGGGCTGGCTGGCAGCCCACACGGCTCCCGTGTCAGGCCTGGCAGGACCCGGGTGCCGTGAGCTGGTGGAGGCACAGGTCCGGTCCCTCCGCTCCGAGGGCCTTCCAGAAAGCTCTCCGCTCTTCCCATAGAATGGGAGACCCAGCATGGCTGGAGCGGGTCACGGCCCGATGCCCGGTTGGGGCACAGGCCCGGGTTACGGGCCCAATGCCCTGTGCAGGGAGGGCGTGCAGGAGGTGGCTGGTCCCCGAGTCTCTCTCTCCCCGTGGATGTTTCTCCTCGCCCTTCCTCCCTGAAATGAACAGACATATTTTTAAAACGATCAACAGAACACCCACGACTGGACCGCCCCACTCCCCGGCCCTCCATCTGTCTCGGGAAGGCGCTCCCGGGCACATGGCGGGCTCTCAGAGCCGCTGGCCTGCGTCTGGAATGCAAGCTGTGGGATGAATGTCATTCTGCACCGCGGACTGGGGCGGTCTCTTCCTGCCCCACGGGGCTCTCTGATTCCTTTCCGATGCTGTTATCTTTATTTATTTATTCACTCACTTACTTCTATTACTACATTTCTACAGGCTTCAGAGAGGAAGGGAGAGCGGGAGAGAGAGAAGCATCCTGATGAGAGGGAAACACTCCGTCCTGGAGATGGAGGCCAAAGCCCGTGCCCTGACCGGGCATCAACCTTGACCTCAACCGTGACCTCCGGGTTCCCAGGTCACCCCGAGCGCAGGGCGGGGCCGGGCTCGCTGGGGCGGCCCCCGGCGGGGCTCCGCGGGCCCATGTGGGGGTTACTCCCGGGCCCGGCACCTCCTCCGCTCGGGGTCAGCGGGTTCACGTCCGAACCCCAGAAGGATCCCAGCCGGACCCGGCGCAGCGCCCCCAGGAGGAGGGTCCAGCCCCCTCTCCGCCCGCCCGGCCGGCCGAGCGCGCAGGGCCCCCGGGACTGTGGTGGAACCCCGGCCACTCGGAGAGCCTGTCCCCCCGGGCGGTTTCCGGAGACGGACCCCGTCATCCCTCGGAACCAGGCCCCGCGGCCGCCACCCGGAAGGGAGAGCAGCGGCAGCGGCGACGGAACTCGCTCGGGGCGCCCGGGTCGGGGACGGGGGGTTTCCGGCTGCTTCCGGCCCGGTCCCCGGCGGAGGCGGGACCCCAGGCGGGCGCGCCGGGGAGCGGACAGCGGCCGCCCCTCCACCCGCCCCTGCGCTCCCCGCCCTACCTCGCCGCTTGGCGCGCACGATGCCCTTCTTCTGCAGCACGAACGTGGACCCGTTCACCAGGCTCGACACCACGGCCACGCCCAGGCCGAGCGACACGGCGGCGGGGCTCGGGCCGCGCGCCCCCTCCCCGGCCGCCGCCGCCGCAGTCCCCATTCTGCCCGCCGCTCTCTGCGCCTGCGCGCGCCGGCAGGGGGCGTGGCTAGGGGCGTGGCCCGGAACGGCCAGGGGGGCCTGGGCGTGGCCAGAAGGGGAGGAGACACTCTGAGGGCGGGCACTGGGAGGGGCCAGGAGGGGATGGGGGCGGGACATACGTTGAGGGGCGGGCGCTGGGAGGAGCCAGGAGGGGATGGGGCGGGACATACGCTGAAGGACAGGCGCTGGGCGGGGCCAGGAGGGGATGGGGCGGGACATACGCTGAGGGGCAGGCGCTGGGCGGGGCCAGGAGGGGATGGGGCGGGACATACGCTGAGGGGCAGGCGCTGGGCGGGGCCAGGAGGGGATGGGGCGGGACATACGCTGAGGGGCAGGCGCTGGGAGGAGCCAGGAGGGGATGGGGCGGGACATACGCTGAGGGACAGGCGCTGGGCGGGGCCAGGAGGGGATGGGGCGGGACATACGCTGAGGGACAGGCGCTGGGCGGGGCCAGGAGGGGATGGGCGGGGCCAGCGCGGAGGGCGGGATGAAAAGGGCCGCTGTGCTGCCGTGTCCCAGGGTCCTGGACCAGATGCCATGCCCGGCAGGGAGCAAATCTTTTTTTATTTTTTAATTAAAAAAAAAAAAACTTCCTATGTGACAGATTTGATTTATTGTGTGAATCCTTTTCATCTTCTAAATTTTTTTATTTAAAAAAAAATATATTTTATTTATTTTCTTACAGAGAGGGACAGAGTCAGAAACATCGATGAGAGAGAATCATCAACCAGCTGCCTCCTGCACGCCCATCACCGGGGACGTGCCGCATCCAAGGTCCATGCCCTTGACCGGAATCGAACCCGGGACCCCTCAGTCCGCAGGCTGACGCTCTATCCACTGAGCCACACCGGTTTCGGCATGGGAACAAATTTTTTTAATCCTCAACCCACAGCCTAGGTCTGGGTCGTGACCGGGAATCAAACCAACAACCTTTCTTCGGTGTCCAGGCCGAATCCCTCGAGTTTTCATTGACGACCGAGTAACTTTCCAGAGAAATGCAGCCATAAAAACGCAATGTTACCTACTGTAAACGCCTCCAAACACGATGGGGTTATCAGTGATAGATCCTCCCTTCCTCCAGTTGATGGACAGACGTAAACCCCACCTGCGGCCTGCCATTCCTGAGCTCTGAACGGCCAATCAGCCCCTGCCAAATACCCTGAGCCCCCGACTCCCAAGTCCCAGGTCCCTGATCACCAATCAGCGTGTGCTGAGTGCTCTAAGCCCCCTCCCCTATCCTTAAAGGTGCTTGTACCCCGGCCCTCGCTCGCTCCCGCTCTCTCTCTCTCTGGAAGCAGCCGGCAGGCGTACTCTTCCCTCCAATGAAGCCTGTGTGTGTCCTGCCATCCTGGTCTCCGCACTTCTCTATTTCACCCGTCAATTAGCAGATTCCAAGACCATGTGCCGAGGGAGAGTTTATTTATGGTTTGATACACACACACACACTGCTACCTGACAGGGTGTCTGCCTGCCCAGCATGGCTTCCGGGGCGGGGGTACACCACGTGCATGCTCACTATTCTAACTTGAAACGTGACCACAGGAGGAAGAGGGTAGACGGCCTCGGGGGAAGGGACCCTGAGCCACAGGGGCCGTGTGGGGTGGAGGACTGGCTTGATGCTTTCTTATGAGATGTGTCCTGGAGGGGTGTCTCCGGGAGGTGATCTGTGGTTACGGTTGCCGTGTTTTTCCAGCATTCAGCAGGATCCGGGTGTGGGTGCCCCACAGTCTACACTCCCTCGCACCCCCGTGTGAGCCAGCACCTCTTCTCCTCCCGAGAGCCGTCCGCGGGGGCGTGTTCTCCGGACGTGGTGACGGCTCAGGCTCCCTTCCGTCTTCCGAGGAGGCGTCCCCGTTAGTTCCATCCCATCACCACGTGGACAACCAGCAGGTAGCACATGGCCACCAGGCAGGAGACCACCATCATGGGGAAGCCCAGCCTGGAACACACAAAGACAGGGGCATGGTGGGACCTGCCGCCCGTGAGAGCCCCGAGAACCAGGAGGCTGCTGGTTCCATGCCTGGTCAGGGCACATGGCCGCGTTGTGGGCTCCATCCCCCCGAGGGGGCGGACAGGAGGCAGCCCATCTATGTCTCTCTCCCTTCCTCTCTCTCTCTAAGAAACAAAATGAAAAATGAAAAAATAAACACATAAGATAGCAGCCGGGCCAGAGATGGCCTCGTTGGTTAGAGCATTTCCCCAGGACACTAAGGTTGCAGGATACTTGCCCTGATGAATGCGTAACCAACTGGGACAAGCACGCCTACCCTTGCTCTCTTTCAAGAAAAAAAAAAATCCATGGCCTCAGCGCCGCCCTCTCCGCAGGACGCGGGAGTCCGGATGTACCTGAAGAACTCCACGAACGAGAAGCCGTAGCCGTGCTGCTCGGCGATGCCTGCGCAGACCACGTTGGCCGACGCCCCGATCAGCGTCCCGTTGCCTGAAACCAGATTCGGTGATGAGGCCGGGCCCGCGGGGGCCGGTGAGGCACCCTGAGACCCGACCGCAGGCGGAGTCTGGGTCTCTGTGCCCCGCATCCAGGTCAGCCATAGTCTAGACCAGTCGTCGGCAAACCGCCTCTCGAGAGCCACAATCGGCTCTTTGGCCCCTTGCGTTTTTAAAAATACATATATATTTTATTGATTTTTTTAACAGAGAGGAAGGTAGAGGGATAGAGAGCCAGAAACATCGATGAGAGAGAAACATCCATCGGCTGCCTCCTGCACGCCCATCACCGGGGATGTGCCCGCAACCCAGGCACATGCCTTTGACCGGAATCGACCCGGGACCCCTCAGTCCGCAGGCCGACGCTCTATCCACGAAGCCAAACCAGCCACGGCTCATCATGGAAGTCTCTCCCTCCCTCTCCCTTCCTCGCTTGAGTTAATAAAATAAATATTTAAAAAAAACCAACAACAGCCGAGACCAGTTTGGCTTAATGGATAGAGCGTCGGCTTGTGTACTGAAGGGTCCCGGGTTCGATTCTGGTCAAGGGCATGTACCTTGGTTGCGGGCATGTCCCCAGTAGGGGGTGTGCAAGAGGCAGCTGATCGATGACTCTCTCTCATCGATGTTTCTAACTCTCTATCTCTCTCCCTTCTTCTCTGTACAAAATCAATAAAATATATTAAAAACAAAACAAAACAAAACAAAAAAACAAACACCCGAAATGACCTCCACGTCTCAGACCAGCCGCCCTCCCTCCACGCCCAGGAGGGGACGGAAGCCCGGCCTGGGGCCGGCTCCCGATCTGAATCCGTCCCCGACGTGAGCATGGAGCTCCGTGCGGGGTGGGACCGGTGGGCCCGGGCCCGGAGCAGGAACACGCTAACCCGAGCTGTAAGTCAGGGCGCACGCAGGCGGTCCGGCGATTCTGCGGGGATTGGGGGGCGAGGGGGGGCACGGGGACCCCAGCAGCTTCCCGGTCGCAGCTGGAGATGGGTGTCTGCTCAGGAGGCCGCCGAGTCCCCCTGCATCCGCTCCGCCCGCACAGACATCCTGCCCTGCTCACCTCCCAGGCAGGCGCCCAGGGCCAGCGCGTACATGAGGGGCGGCGCCGGCAGGCTGACCTCGGGGTCCTGGCTCAGGTTCAGGAGCACGGGGATCTGCGGAGGGAACGGTGCCCACGTCAGGCCCCTGGGACCCGGGGAGCTGCCGCCGAGACCCACCTCCACCACCACCACCTCCTCCTCCTCCACCACCACCACCACCACCACCGCCGCCGCCGCCCGAGGCCCGTCTGGCCCGGAGCGGAAACCAGAGGGCAGTGAGTGTGACACCCACGGCCCGAGCGAGAGCCCACGGGTGCAGCCTCCTGACCCTGGGCCCCCTTCTCCTCGCCGCCCCATGGTGGCTACTGCGGGTGGTTTTTTGTTGTTAACTCTCTCTCCCTCTCCCTTTTCCTCTGTAAAAAGTCAATAAAATATGTTCTATTTTTTAAAAAAATATATCTTATTGCTTTTTTACAGAGAGGAAGAGAGGGGGAGAGTTAGAAACATCCATCAGCTGCCTCTTGCACATCCCCTATTGGGGATGTGCCTGCAACCCAGGTCCATGCCCCTGACCGGAATCAAACTTAGGACCCTTCAGTCCGCAGGCCGACGCTCTATGCACTAAGCCACACCGGTTTTGGCAATAAAATACATTTTAAAGAAAGAAAGAAACAGAAGCAAAACGGAGGAAAGGGTGCTGTCCGTGGTGCTGACCCCGGGTGCGAGGCCATGGTCCTGAGCTCCCAGCCAGCCAGCCGCCTGGCTCTGCCGCCCGTGCCCTAAGCCTGCGGGTGCAGCCTGGGGTCGGGCGGGGGTCCCGTGCGGTCTTCCCCCGCAGGAAGGGGGCGCCCAGAAGGTGTGCAGCCCACACGCACACACCCACGCACAGGGGCCCAGGACGCGGGACTCACCATCGTGGCCGTGAAGGGGATGTTGTCGATCAGGGAGGATGCGATGGCCGATACCCAGACCACCAGCACGATGGCGGCCGCGAGGCGCCGGTCCTCGGGGACCATCTGGAGGGGCAGGCGAGGGCGGGGCTGGCATCACGGCTGCAGGTCGGCCACACGGGCTCTGGCCGTCCCACACGCGTGCAGGAGGGCCCCGGGGGCGGGCCATCCCTCCTCCGCTTCCCAGGCCGCCCGGACCCTCCCGGGAGCCTGGCCGGGCCCCACAGGGAGCGTGTGCTGGCCACACAGCCGCGAACCAGCCCTCCTGCCACCTCGCTGGGTTGGGGCCTTACTCACACGGGTGTCTCGACTGCTGTCTGTCTCAGACAGGCTTTATTTTGTTTAATACATTTTTATTCCCGTCAGAGAGGAAGGGGGAGGGAGGGAGAGACAGAAACACCCGTGATGAGCGAGAGCCATGGATCGGCTGCTCCTGCACACCCTACCACCCTGGGGACCAAGCCAGCAGCCCAGGCCTGTGCCCTGACCGGGAATTGAACCATGACCTCCTGGTTCACAGTCAACCTTTCACCCCTGAGCCACACGGACTGGACCTGCAATTATACACATTTTTTTAAAAGTCTCCCTTCGGCCAAAACCGGTGTGGCTCAGTGGATAGAGCGTCGGCCTGCGGACTAGGGGGGTCCCAAGTTCGATTCCAGTTAAGGGCATGTACCTTGGTTGCGGGCACGTCCCCAATAGGGGGTGTATAGGAGGCAGCTGATCGGTGTTTCTCTCTCATCGATGTTTCCAGCTCTCTATCCCTCTCCCTTCCTCTCTGTAAAAAAATCAATAAAATATATTTTTTAAAAATAAAGTATTAAAAATAAAATATATATATATATATAAAAAGAAAAAGTCTCCCTCCATCTCTGGGTAACCCAGGATAAAACAGGTCCCCGACTGCAGTCTTTCTTACATAACTAATGGGACCTCCTCTCACCAGAGTTTTTAAAGTTTTATTTTACACAATAAAACGGAACCCCCTGGCTGGAGCCCCCCTGTGCGGCTGCCCGGGCGGTACCTTTATCAGCGAGGTGGTCTGCTCGCCCACGTATTCGATCAGGTGCAGGTGGCCCAGCGCCTGGAAGAGGTGGGCGTCCGTGAGAACCAGGAGACACGCAGCTTTGCAAACGCCTCGAGGTCAGGGTTCGATCCCCGGTCAGGGCCCACGCCCAGGCTGCAGGCTCCATCCCCAGGGGGGGCGTGCAGGAGGCAGCCGGTCCGTGACTCTCTCTCCTCCTGGATGTTTCTCTCTCTCCCCGGCTCCCTGCCTCTCTGCCAGGCTCCGGGGAGGCGGGTGAGGGGGCCAGAGACCCACGGGCCCCCCTGGCAATGCCCAGCTGCCCTGTTTCCAGGGACAGAAGGACACAGAACCAGCGAAAAATCTTCTTTGGCAACTGAGCGGCCAAGGCTGGTGCTGTCAGCCCAAAGCACCCAATTTCCCTCGGCCGCCAGCAGATGGAGCCCTTGGATAAGAATTGGTGCATGTGGGATTTTAAAAAATTTATTTTTATTTTTATTTTTGTTTGTTCATCCTCACCCATGGATATCTTTCCTTAGGGTATTTTTTTGGCATTACTCTAGTTTTTATTTATTTATTTATATTTATTTATTTGTTTTTTTAAATTCTTTATTGTTTAACGAGAGGCCTGGTTCATGAAATTCGTGCATGGGGAGGGGGTAGGGGTGGGGGAAGGTGTCCCTCAGCCCAGACTGCATCTCCTCTCTCCAATCTGGGACCCCTTGATTCCCCCATGAACCCCCCCTCCTTTTTTTTTTAAAAAAACATATTTTTTTATTGATTTTTTTACAGAGAGGAAGGTAGAGGGACAGAAAGTTAGAAAACATCGATGAGATGTTTGGCTCAGTGGATAGAGTGTCGACCTGCGGACTGAAGGGTCCCGGGTTCGATTCTGGTCAAGGGCATGGACCTTGGTTGCGGGCACATCCCCAGTGGGGGGCGTGCAGGAGGCAGCTGGTCGATGATTCTCTCTCATCGATGTTTCTAACTCTCCATGCTTCTCCCTTCCTCTCCGTAAAAAATTAATAAAATATATTAAAAAAGCCGCCCTGCAGAAGTCTCCGGAAGCTCACCTCCATCAGCACGAACAGCGCCGCGAAGAACAGCAGCGTGGCCCACTCCACGCGGTGCAGGATGACCTCGAAGTCGTGCACGTCGGCCAGAATCAGCAGCCAGAGGGCGCCCAGGATCGCGGTCCAGCCTGCAAGGCGAGAACAGGGGCGGCTGGCGCTGGGTCCGAGGGCGGGCACGCCGCGGACGCCCCACTGCGCGGCCGCCGCCCTCTCCGCCGAGGGGAACGCGTCCTGCAGGCTGAACGTATGTTTTAATCTGTTTTTTTTTTTTAATGTATATACTTTAAAAATATATTTTTTCTTTACAGAGAGGAAGGGAGAGGGATAGAGAGCTGGAAACATCGATGAGAGAGAAAGGCATCCATCAGCTGCCTCCTGCACGCCTCCCACTGGGGATGTGTCCGCCACCAAGGTCCATGCCCTTGACCGGAATCGAACCCGGGACCCTCCAGTCCGCAGGCTGACGCTCTATCTACTGAGCCACACTGGTTAGGGCTGTTCTCTCCACATTTGTGGTTGTTTCTGTGAATCCTGACCCAAGGATATTTTCCCCATAGATTTTAAGAGAGAGAATGGGAGGGAGGGAGAAAGGGAGAAGAGAGAGAGAGAGAGAGAGAGAGAAACATCGATGTGAGAGAGACGCATCATTGGCTGCCTCCTGGACATGCCCTTGACCAGGGCCAGCGATCAAACCCACAACACTTTGGTGGAATCGAACCCGGGACCCTTTGGTCCCTGGGCTGACGCTCTGGTCCCTGAGCGGCACCCGCCAGGGCTGGAACCGGCGTGGAACCGCCGCTTGGGCCCATGGCGGCCAGGGCAGCGTGCCGGGCGGCCAGCCGGGCGGGGGGCCTCACCCAGGTCCAGGTGCACGGCGGGCACGAAGGAGCTGAGGAAGAACACGAGGATCACGAACCCCAACACGGCCAGGCACTTGGCCAGCAGCACCCCGTCCGATATCCTGTGCTGGGAGGCAAGGGGCAGCTATTCGGGTCCCGCCGGGGGCCAGGTCCCCCCAGACTTCTCGCGTGCGCGCGGCCGGAGACCACGAGGAAGTGGGTGCCAGGGCAGGGAGGGGGCCCGGAGGTCAGGGCTCCGTTCCCGCTGGTCCCCGGGGTGGGCGTGCGGGGTCCTCTCTCCTCGTCGGGGCGCGGGTAAAACACGCCGGCCGCTCCCGGGTGCGACCACGGGGCCCCGGAGGGCAGTGAGCTCGCCCATGCCTCCTGCGGGCACGGGGGCCCGGTACCTTTTTCTGCAGCTCCTGGATGTTGGTCTCCCAGTTCTTGTCCTCCTGCGAGATCTGCCTGGAACGGGGGAGGAGGAGGCACCTCAGGACCCGCCCACGGCGACACGGGGAGGCCACGGAACGGGGCCCTGGGCTCATGGGCTGGGGAGGACGCTGGCTCCGTGTTTCCAAAGGAAGACAACACGCAAGACGATGGGGATGTGTGATGAGCCGTGTGTGAGCGTGTGCAAGCGTGTGCATGCAGGGAGCCCGAGTGTGAACAAGGGGATGAGGGTCCTGAGCCACCCTGGGCTCCCCCCTCACTTTTTTTCTGCTTTTCTTTTCTTTTTAATATATTTTTATTGATTTTCTACAGACAGGAAGAGAGAGGGATAGAGAGCTAGAAACATCGATGAGAGAATCATCCATCAGCTGCCTCCTGCACCCCTCCTACTGGGGATGTGCCCGCAACCAAGGTACAGGCCCTGGACCGGAATCGAACCCAGGACCCTTCAGTCCGCAGGCCAACGCTCTACCCACTGAGCCACACCAGTTTTGGCTTTTTTCTGCTTTTCCAAGTTTCTTTTCCCCCAAAAAATGGGGATATAATTACAGCTCAGCTAACCAAGGGACGGAACGCTGGCAGAGACGCCCCTCGCTCTGGTGGGGATTCCGATTCCCTGGACCCTCTCTCCTCACGGACGCCCGTCTCTCCGTCTCCGTCTGCCATCTCCCTCCCTCTCTCTGGCCCCCCCGGCCGGTACCTGTGGAGGGACAGCAGCCGCCGGGCCAGCAGCCGCTCCAGCGCCAGCACCTTCCCCAGCAGCAGCCCGCGCACCGCCGTCTCCTCCCGGCTGGCCGGGCTGATGCGCTGGGCCGTCAGGCGCCACACCTGGATCTCGTGCTTCAGCTCTGCGGGGAGAGGGAGCCGAGCCGGAGCCTCCCGCGCGGAGCCGGGGGGTCGGCGGACGCCCGCTGCTTCCCTCGTCGCCTTCCCGAACCCCGAACCGGGAACACGGCCGACCCTGCCGGCCCCCGCCCCGAGGAAGCACAGGGAAACCCGCGCATCGGTCACGGAAGCAGGAGGCACACCTCCGACTTGGATGCAAAGCAGTTCGACTTTAGGAAAAAATGTGTACGGATGTCAGAGAGGAAGGGAGAGGGAGAGAGAGAGAAACACCACGACGAGAGAGAATCCCGGACCGGCTGCCTCCTGCACGCCCCCTGCTGGGGATGGAGCCAGCAGCCGGGCCCGTGCCCTGTCGCGGAATCGAGCTGGGACCTCCTGGTCGGCCACAGAGCCACGCTGTGGTCTCCACGCTGGAGGAGGAGTTTCCTTTGTGCTTCTCTGAGGACGTGTCCGTTTTTTAAATATATATATATATATTTTTTAATGGATTTTTCACAGAGAGGAAGGGAGAGGGACAGAGATGTAGAAACATCGATGAGAGAGAAACATCGGTCAACTGCCTCCTGCACGCCCCCTGCTGCGGATGTGCCCGCAACCGAGGTCCATGCCCTTGACCGGAATCGAACCCGGGACCCTTCCGTCCGCAGGCTGAGGCCCTATCCACTGAGCCACACTGGTTTCAGCTGAGGACGTGTTTATTGATGAGAGAGAGAGTGCGAGTGAGAGGAAACAGATGTGACAGACACGCATCACCTGGCACCCCTGGTTACCTCCTGCCCGCTCCCCGCCGGGGCCAGGGACCAGACCTGCCCCGGGCCCACGCTGTGACCGGGGGCCGAGCCTCCGGCCGCTTCCCGGCAGCGAGCTCAGTCCCGGGCCCACGGTCCACACTCACCCACAATCTCGCTGGGCTCCTTGTTGTACAGCTTCCGGTTCCAGAAGAGGAGCCGGAGCAGCGGGAAGGAGAAGAGGACGACGAAGCAGATCCCCACGAACATGTGCGCCGTGAACCCCGCGAAGTCCAGGCCCTGGGGGCGGACGGGGGGGGTCACGGACCGGCCTCTCGCCGGGGACCGCCCCTGCCCCGCCCCGCGGGAGGCACGTCAGCCCCGCGCCCGCCCTGGGCCGCACGGAAACAGATGCTGTCCTCCAGGCCTCTCCTTAAAAGCACAGCAGGGCCCTGGCCAGTGTGGCTCAGTGGCTAGAGCGTCGGCCTGCGGACTGAAAGGTCCCGGGTTCGATTCCGGTCAAGGGGGCATGTACGTTGGTTTCGGGCACATCCCCAGTGTGGGGCGTGCAGGAGGCAGCTGATGGATGATTCTCTCTCATCGACGTTTCTGACTCTGTCCCTCTCCCTTCCTCGGGTCTCGGCTCCGAGGCAGCCGCCCGGGGCGCGGGCACGCACCATCTTCCTCAGCTCCTGGTTGGAGATGATGATGACGTTGGGCGGGTCTCCAATGGCAGTGGCCGCCCCTCCGATGTTGGTGAAGATCACTTCTGCGATCAGGACCTGCCTGGGGTCCAGGTTGAGCACCTCGCACAGCCTGTCGCCAAGAGAGAGACGTGGCGCAGCCGGCGTGGCTCCATGGCTGAGCGTCCACCGACCGGAGAACTGGGAGGTCACGGGTTCAAGTCTCGGTTAGGGCCCGGGCCTGGGTTGCGGGTTCCATCCCCAGGAGGGGGCGTGCAGGAGGCAGCTGGTCCATGATTCCCTCTCATCATGGATGTTTCTCTCTCTCTTCCTTTCTCTCTGACAATAAACATATATTTGTAAAAAAAAAATCAGCTGAAACCAGTTTGGCTCAATGGATAGAGCGTCTAAAAGGTCCCGGGTTCGATTCCGGTTAAGGGCATGTGGTTGCGGGCACATCCCCAGTAGGGGCTGTGCAAGAGGCAGCTGGTCGATGTTTCTCTCTCATCGACGTTTCTAGCTCTCTATCTCTCTCCCTTCCTCTCTGTAAAAAAATCAATAAAATACATTTTAAAAAAATCAGTGGGTAAACACCCCCGGGAGAGGATTAACAACAACAACATCTTATCCAGCGCGTCTGGCCCGCGGCTCCTCTGGACCCAGGAGCCCACGAGGGCCTTTTCTCAGCTGCCAACACCCCAGCCCCCTGCCCTGGAGCGACGCCCTTTGACCTTAGAGGATGAAGGGCGCTCCCTGCAGGCAGCGCACGGGGCTGCACCCTGCGGCCCTGCCCATGACAGACGCGCCCCGGAGGCCGCCGGTCCTGGTCCCTGGACACTGCCCCAATCCGAGAGAATCAAATAGCCAAACATCCAATGAGTCAACTAGCCAAGTATCCAATTAGTCAAGTATCGATTAGTCAACTAGTCAAGTATCCAATTAGTCAACTAGTCAAGTATCCAATTAGTCAAGTATCTAGTCAACTAGTCAAGTATCCAATTAGTCAAGTATCGATTAGTCAACTAGTCAAGTATCCAATTAGTCAATTAGTCAAGTATCTAATTAGTCAAGTAGTCAAGTATCCAATTAGTCAAGTAGTCAAGTATCCAATTAGTCAAGTATCTAGTCAACTAGTCAAGTATCCAATTAGTCAATTAGTCAAGTACCCAATTAATCAGTTACCAGGCGGACGGGAGGGGCGCTCCCGGCTCCCAGCCCCGCCCGGCGGCACCCGCACACCCACCGGATGGTCACGGGCGTGAAGAGGAGCGACGTGGTGACGTTGTCCAGGAAGGCGGACAGCACGGCGGAGATGAGGCACAGCATGGTGATCATGGCCCAGACTCGGCCGCGGGACAGCTGGTAGGCCTGGAGCAGACACACACACACACACACACACACACACACACACACACACGCAGGGGCCAGGCCGGGTCAGTGGGCGGATGCGCAGGCCCTGCCCTCCCCGGGGCCCGAATGCACACGCCCACCCACAGCCCTGGCCGGGGTGGCTCAGGGGGCTGAGCGTCAGCCTGTGCACCGAAAGGTTGCCGGTTCGATTCCCGGCCGGGGGACAGGCCCGGGGTGCAGGCTTGATCCTTGTGGGGGACGTGCAGGAGGCAGTTCCTGTCTCTCCCTTTCCCTCTCCCTTCCTCTCTGAAACCAACGAAAATCTAAAGTAAATAAAATCAATAGTAGCTTTGCTTATTTAAAAAAAATGTATTTTATTGATTTTTTACAGAGAGAAAGAGAGAGGGATAGCTAGAAACACCTCGGTGACAGAGAAATCGATCAGCTGCCTGTGCCCGCAACCAAGGTCCATGCCCTTGACCGGAATCGAACCTGGGACCCTTCTGTCTGCAGGCCGATGCTCTATTCGCTGAGCCACAGCGGTTTTGGCTTTTCTGCTCTTCAGAATTTCTTCCCCCCCCCCCCCAAATGGGGGTATAATTACAGCTCAGCTAACCCAGGGACGAACGCTGACAGAGCCACAGCGCTGTCGGCTGCTTATTCGAACTGTGTGACGGCAGGAAATGAAGTCAACGAGTCCACATCTACCCACTCCCCGCCAGTCGCCCTTACCTTGACAGCGCAGTAATCAAAGAACCCGGTTTCCGAAAATATGGCGACCAGGATCATCTGCGGGGAGAGGGGCAGAGGGGACAGGGCCTCAGAGGGGCTGGTCGCCGACACCCGTGCGTCTTTGCTACGATGAAGGCGCCCGGAGCGGGGATTACCATGCCGAACAGCAGGGCCAGCGTCTCAAAGTCGATCCACTCCACCACGTGGGCCAGGCTGGGTCTCTGTGGGCAGGGCGGGAGGGGGGGGGCGCTCGTCAGACGGGGCTGGTGCGGGGGCCTGCTGCCTCCCCCGGTGCCCGCGGCCTCCGAGTGGGAGCACATCCCGCTGAGAACCACTGGCGGCCGGCGACAGGCCTCTGCATGCATTTCGTTGCAAGAAAAGCACATTTCTTTTTTTAAAAGAAAAGACTCGTGTTAGAGAGAGAGAGACATAGATACAGGAAATGGCGGAGAGAGAGAAAGAGATACAGTCAAACGGAAAATACTCCCCAGAGCGGGAGGCCCGTCAGCTCTGTCCTGGCCTGAGTGGCTCAGCAGTTAGCACTCCCCAGGTTCGATGCCCAGCTAAGGGTATGTACCTGGGCTGCAGGCGCATGCAGGAGGCAACTGATCGGTGTGTGTGCGTGTATGTGCGTGTATGTGCATGTGTGTGTATCTCTCTCTCTCTCTCTCTCTCTCTCTCTCTCTCGCCCCGAACCGGAGGTCCCGCGCCCCCCACTGTGCAGGGCCCCACTTACCTCGCCCGTCACGGCCAGCGCTGCCAGTGCCGCCAGGGAGCCCAGCATGGCGGCCAGCGTCCTGTGCACGATCTGGGGGGAGAGAGAGAGAGAGAGAGAGGGGACAGGGCTGTCACTCTGTCCAGGGGGCGGGACACACACACCAAAGCCAGCGCCGGCATGGACGCCTGGGCCGGCCTGGCCGTTCGGCGAACACCACGTCTACCACACGACGGAGGAACGGTGGGTCTTGCCGTCTCCCACGGCAGGCGCCCCAGAAGCACACACAGCGCCCCCGCCCCACACTCATCCCGGACGACGGTGCCCCTCTCTCCTGAGGGACCAGCGGACCCTCAGGGGAGGCGGGGGCCGGGTCAGCGACGTCCGTTCTGTCTGCAAGGAAGCCCGCGGGCCCCCGCCGGGTCACGGTCGAAGGCTGTGAGGACGTACGGAAAGAGAGCGCGCAGCCCCGACCCAAGCTCAGCTTGGATTGGATATTGACTAATAGAATATTTGGATATTGGATATTTGGATATTGATTGGATTAGTCAAAATTTTACTGGTTGGGATAATTGATTGAATTAGACATATTGGATTAGATTGCTTGTATCAGATATATTGGATTCATGGTTTCTCTCTCCCTCTCCCCGCCTCTCTGAATCAATAAAAATGTAAGAAATAATGAAATAAGATGACGGGCCGAAACGTCTGTGGACTGAGAGGTCCCAGGTTCGATTCCGGGCAGGGGCATGTACTTTGGTTGCGGGCACATCCCCGGTGGGGGGTGTGCAGGAGGCAGCTGGTCGATGTTTCTCTCGTCGGTGTTTCTAGCTCTCTCTCCCTCTCCCCTCCTCTCTGTAAAAAACCAATGAAATATATTAAAAAAGAAATCAGACGACGGAAAGGCCACTTCTCAGGAGGGACAGCCCACCCTCTGGCGGGAGGCGGGAGCCCCAGGCCCTCCCCGTGGGCGGGGAGGAGGCCGGGAGGGGTGGGGTACCTCGAAGATGATGAGCACGTAGACGCCGGCGAGGATGAGGGCGGCCATGGTCACCTGGGCCTCCACGCCCGCCCGCAGGTGCTGGTGCGCCAGCAGCAGGGGCAGCGCCCGGGGCTGCTGCAGGGCGGCCCGGACGCTGAGGGAGACGCCGTCCCTGGGAGGAGCAGACAGCCCTCAGGACGTGCCCTCTGCCCCGCCGCCCCCCCCCCCCCCCCCCCCCCCCCCACCTGCCGGGCACCTCGAAGGTGCGGCTCAGCACCACCTGCTCGCCACGGCGCGGGCTCAGGAACACCGTCCAGTTGTGAGTGACCTGGGACGTGCGAGAGCGGCCGCCTGAGGGCTGTGACCGGGCCGCACGGGACCCGGGCCGGCAGGGTGGGTGCCCGCTGAGGATCGGAACAGGGGGAGAGAGCCCCCCGAGAGCCCCCACTGAGGGCTGTGACCGGGCCGCACGGGACCCGGGCCGGCAGGGTGGGTGCCCGCTGAGGATCGGAACAGGGGGAGAGAGCGCCCCCGAGAGCCCCACTGAGGGCTGTGACTGGGCCGCACGGGACCCGGGCCGGCAGGGTGGGTGCCCGCTGAGAATCGGAACAGGGCGAGAGCGTCCCCCGAGAGCCCCCACACGAGCAGTCCGGCCCATGGGCAGCTGGAGATGCCCCCACGTGGTTTTTTAAAAATACGTTTTTAAGTTTTTGAGAGCGAGCTAAAGGAAACGCTTGCCTGAGGCGGCTACCTGTCTGCCCCAACAGAAGGATCATGGGTTCGACTTCCTGGGCAGGAGGCTCGGTCCCTGGCCCCGTCAGGAGAGGAGGCAACCCCCCGATGTTTCTCTCTCTCTCTCCCTCCTCCTCCCTCCCTCTCTCCACTCCACTCTCTCTAAAAACCAATGTGTGCACAGGGGGTCAGCAGTGGAGCCCATTGGCAGGTGTCTTGCCCAGTCCTGGCTAGGGGGGCCCGTGGAAGCCAGCCAGCCAGGGAGGGACCGCAGGAGGGCTCCAGGGCATCATATCCAGCTCTCTTGCCTGGTCCCAATCAGCCAGACACACCAGCAGCAAGCGAACCTACCGCCATCTGAGTGCCTGCCCCCTGGTGGTCAGTGTGCGTCATAGCGACCGGTCAGGCTGTCGGTCAACCCGACGGTCAGACACCTAGCATGTTACACTTTCATTACATAGGATTCTCCGGAGAGGACTGACAGCCACGAAAAGGTGCTTTCATGGTAAGTAGCTTAGCTGTGGCACCTGCGGGGGCCGCCGCCGGGGGCCGGGGGTGCTGGCCGGCGCCACCTCCACCACCAGGTGCTCGTCTCTGTCCGCTCGGCTCGGGCCGCCAGCCAGCAGGGCCCCCGCCAGGTCCACGCGGAGCAGCGAGGAGTCGGGCCGGCCGCTGAGGTTCGCCGCTGGGGGCGCGTTAAGGCGAGCACAGAGCAGGGAGAGGCCCGGGGTCCCCCCTCCAATTACCCAATATCCAATATCCAATATCCAATAGTCCAATATCCAATATCCTATTAGTCCAATATCCAATATCCAATAGTCCAATATCCAATATCCAATATCCAATATCCAATATCCAATATCCAATATCCTATTAGTCCAATATCCAATATCCAATATCCAATAGTCCAATATCCAATATCCAATAGTCCAATATCCAATAGTCCAATATCCAATATCCAATAGTCCAATATCCAATAGTCCAATATCCTATTAGTCCAATATCCAATAGTCCAATATCCAATATCCTATTAGTCCAATATCCAATATCCAATATCCAATATCCAATAGTCCAATATCCAATATCCAATATCCAATGTCCAATATCCAATATCCAATAGTCCAATAGTCCAATATCCTATTAGTCCAATATCCAATATCCAATATCCAATATCCAATAGTCTAATATCCAATATCCTATTAGTCCAATATCCAATATCCAATATCCAATAGTCCAATATCCAATAGTCCAATATCCAATATCCAATAGTCCAATATCCAATATCCAATAGTCCAATATCCAATAGTCCAATATCCAATATCCAATAGTCCAATATCCTATTAGTCCAATATCCAATATCCAATATCCAATATCCAATATCCAATAGTCCAATATCCAATATCCAATATCCAATATCCAATGTCCAATATCCAATATCCAAATACCCAGGGGCCAGAGGACAGGCAGCGGGGAGACACCGGGCCCCGGGGCCGCAGCCCACGCGCCCGAGCGCGGCCTCGTGCGGGACCCTCGCCCCCACCGCCCACCTAGTCCCCCGCTCCTGTCCCAGAGCCCGGCTCCGTCCAGCGGCCGGTGGCCTGGGCCGGGGCGGGGCGGCCCCGCTCTGTGGCCCGCGGCCCCTCCCGCTCCGGCACCGCCCGGTTCGGATACAGTAGCTCTCCAGCGGCGACACGGCCAGCAGCTGCCACAGCGGCCCCTCGTCCGGGTTCAGGCTGAACGCGACCTGCGAGGACCAGCGAGGGCTCGTGGGTGAGCGATCCGGGGCTCGCCGGAGACCGGGGACGGCCGAACACCGGTGAGCGCCGGCCGGCGCGGCCGAAGGGCCCCGGTACGACTCCAGTCAAGCACACAGACCTCGGGGGCAGGCTCCTCCCCGCCCGGGCCCTGGTGGGGGGCGTGTGCAGGAGGCAGCCCATCGCTGCGTCTCTCTCTCCTCCTCCCTCCCACGCCCGCAGCTCCCGCCCCGGGGGCACCCACCGAGCACAGCACCACGAAGAGGAACAGGCCGGTGACCTTGAGCCGCTGAGCACAGCGCCTGCGGGAGGAAAGGCGGCCTGCGTCACGGAGGCCGCCCCGTCCACCAGGCTGACCCGGCGGGAGGCCCTGGGGAGGGGCTGGCCTGTCCCCTCCGGCCTCGGGTGGCCTGGGGGAGGGTGGAGGCCAGGGGAGCGGAGGCCAGGGGAGCGGAGGCTGTGGACGGAGGCGGGGACCCCGGGCGGCGGGGGGACGGCTGCACAGACCCGCCTGGCCCCGTGGGCCCGGCCCGAGCCTCAGCCGGTCCCTGAGACGCCGCTCCGGGCACTGACCACGGCCCCTGCCCCCGCCCCCAGCCCCGCCCCGGGCCTGCAGGACCGTCCCCGGGACCGCACGGGGCCCCGGGCGCCTACCTGAGCTTGGAGAGGCGGAACGGGGCGGGGGCCCCCTCCAGCAGGGCCCCCCGGTCCGAGGAGGAGGAGGAGGCGGATCGGGAGGAGCCGGCCGTCTCGCTGCCCAGCAGGGACCTGCCCTCCCACTCGGCGGAGCCCAGGTCCCAGGCCTCGAGCTCCGGGGGGTACACGGGCAGGCCCCGCGCCCTGGAAAGCAACGTGGGGTCACCGTCCGGAGACCGCCCTCGTCCCCCGCCTCCATCCGGCTTCGAGAGGAGGACCCGGGCCCAGGGCGGACGGACATCTCAGAACAGCTGGGCCCGGGAAGCCTGAGTTCTCTCGGATCTTCAGGACGCACCGTGGGCCTTAAAGACACACCAGCCAGCCCTCCGGCCGGCGTGGCTCGGCGTGAGCATCCGCCTGAGAGCCGGGAGGTCAGGTCAGGTGGGGGCAGTTCCCGGTCAGGGCACAGGCCCGGGTTACAGGCTGGATCCCCGTGGGGGGCGTGCAGGAGGCGGCCGGTCCATGGTTCTCTCTCCTCCTCGATATTTCTCCCTATTTCTCTCTCCCTTGCTCTCTGACATCAATAAAAATACATTAAAAATAGCCCTGACCAGTGTGTCCCAGTGGATAGTGTCAGCCTGCGGACTGAAGGGTCCCAGGTTCGATGCGGGTCAAGGGCATGGACCTTGGTTGCGGGCACATCCCCAGTAGGGGGTGTGCAGGAGGCAGCCGGTCGGTGTTTCTCTCCCTTCCTCTCTGTAAAAAAAATCAATAAAACATATTTAAAAACAAACAAAACCAGGACCTTGGAGTGCACAGTGCAGGGCGGAGAGACCGCGGCCTCGGGGACAAGCTGCAGTCTCCCTCTTGGGGGCGGGGCACTCACCGCTCCTCCGGGGAGAAGCTCCCCAGCAGCGGTGTGCTCTCGGTGCAGCAGGCGTCCGGGGCCCTGGAGCTGCAGAGCCGGGCGGAAGGCGGGTGAGACCTGGGAGACACACACACAGAGCAGCAACGGCGACAGGTGCCGCCCCCGCCAGCAGGGGGCGCCCTCCCGACACCCGAGAGCGAGGGGTGGGGACCACCGTCTCCCATGAGGGTGGCCCGTGGGGGAGGAGGAGAGCGAGAGAAACATCCACGATCAGAGCGAACCACCCATCGGCTGCCTCCTGCACGCCCCACCCTGGGGATGGAGCCCGCCCCCCGGCCTGTGCCCTGAGCGGGCATCGAACCCTGACCTCCCGGGGTGTGGGCGGGCGCTGACACATTTTAAACGCACCTCTGCTCCGGGAGGAAGGGGCCGCCATCCCGGCCGCCCGGAGCCCAGCAGCTCGGCCTGGCCGCCCCCCGGGGGTGGGGGCTCCCGGGGCTGGCCCCCCGGGCTCCCGGCGGTGGCCGGCGGCCGGTGGCGAGGCCCAGGCTGGCGCGCGGGGATGCGGACGTCTGATGGAGCTCCACCTCCAGCTGGCCGGAGCCCGGCCGGCCGCCCTCCTGCCCCAGGTGCATGTCCGCCACCTCCGCCCCCTGGGGCCGGCGGGGGGGGGGAGAGAGAGAGGGAGAGAGAGAGAGAGAGAGAGAGAGAGAGAGAGAGAGAGAGAGAGAGAGGCGGTGACGGACGGGCAGACGGCAAGGCTCCCAGCACCCGGGCACCCTCACTGCCGCGGCACCGCAGAGAGGCCTCCCTTTTCTTCCCTTAATCGGTTTTTAAATTTTTAAATGTATTTTTATGGACTCCAGAGAGGGAGGGAGAGGGAGAGACAGAAACATCCAGGAGGAGAGAGAATCATGGATTGGCTGCTCCTGCAGCCACTGGGGACCGAGCTGGCAACCGGGAATGTGCCCTGGACTGGAACTGAACTGGGGACCCTTCAGTCTGCAGGCCGGTGCTCTATCCACTGAGCCACACCAGCTAGGGCTTTACTGACTCGAGAGCGAGAGCGAGAGCGAGAGCGAGAGAGAGAGAGAGAGAGAGATCAATTGGTTGTTCCACTTATAGTGCATTCATTGGTTGATTTTTTAAACAATCTTCATTGTAGGATATTTCCCCGTTGATTCTCAGGGAGAATGGAAGAGAGAGGGAGAGACAGAGACACAGCCACTGGGCCGGGGAGGCGCATGCCCCTGAGGTAGGTGCCTCTGACGTGGGTTCGGGTGCTCTCCCACCCCCAAGCCCAGGGGGAGCATCTGCGCCCCCCTCCCCAGACCGGGACCCTGAGCCGCCTCCTCCTGGGTCAAGGAACGTGTGTCCTGACTTCGGCTGGTGCCTGGGGCAGGGAGGGGGAGGAGGGGGAAGCACAGTTGGCAGCAAAGACAAAATCCAGAACCAAAATCCCGGAAAATCCGTCCCGCACACGAGGTTCTCACCCCTGGACGGGTGACTCCCGAGACAGACAGACCCCCGTGTCTGACGACATTCCGGGAGTCCTGAGCCCGCTCCCGGCTCTTCCCGTCAGCCCCCTGGTGCACCCACCCCACCCGAGACACTCCCCTCCCCCCGTGACCCACCCTCTCTCACCCAGCTGAGCCCTCCCCCATGAAGTGTCCCTCCCAGACGCAGGGCCGGGCAGTGGCTCTCTGCAGCCGGCTAGCTGCCCCCTGCCCTACAAACTCCGTGATTTTTCCCCAAAACACACATCTATCTGACCCCTGGGCCTCCAGCTCAAAACCTGTCCCGGGCCTGGCCGGCGTAATCGAACCTGGGAGGTCAGGGCAGGTGCCTGTTTGCCGGCTCCATCCCCAGTCTGGGCTGTGCAGGAGGCGGCCGGTCCATGATTCTCTCTCATCACGGACGTTTCTCTCTCTCTCTCTCCTCTCTCTTTCCCTCTCCCTGCCTCTCTGAAATCCATACAAATAATAAAATCAGAAACACACAGCAAAAAAACCTGTCCCAGCTGTCTCAGGTGTGGGTACCATCGGGCCCCCCTTGGCCCCATCGTCCCTGATGCCCTCAGACCTCGGCCAGGCCCCAGGCGGTGGGGTGAGACCGTCTCAAGGGCCAGTATCAGCCAAGGGCAGTAAACCTGGAGAAGCGGAGACTCCTGTCACCCCCAGTCACACGGGCATGAACAGCTGGCACACAAGCGTCTGCAAACTCCGTTTGCAGGAAAGGGCAGGTGCTCCCTCTCCTGGGAGGGTCCCGAGAGCCAGCTAAACTGACTCCTCACCAGTGATCCTGGGAGAGTTGGAATCCCAGCTGCAGGCCACCTCCCTCCCAGGGCCCAGCGCCCCCTCTCCCTTGGGGCTTGATCCTGGGGCCTGGACGGCAGACCCCGTGCCCCCACCCCCGACAGCCAAGCCCCATGGTTCGGGTGCCAAGGACCTGCCTTGTATTCAGGACAGAGCTGCTGCCCACGGGGCTCACCAGCAGCCTCCTGTTCTCTGCCTGGGAGCCAGCCATCCATCCACATCCCCTGAGCCCGGGCTCAGCAGGGCCAGCCAGGCCCCTCGCCGGAGCAGCCCCAGGCCCAGGCCCGGGTCTGCAAGCCCAGGATGTGGTCACCCAGGCCCCTGGAAAGCGCTGGCCGCAGGACCCCACAGGACCCCATGCAATCCCTCCGTGTGTGGCCGGAGCAGCCGGAGGGATGGGGAGGGCGCATTCCGTTCCCAGAGACGCCTGACCCGTGCGCTCACGTGCTTGCCAGGCGGGCGCTGCCGGGAGCGGACCCCGCTGGGCAGGCTACGCAGAGCCCGGCCCGAAGGCCCGGGAACCCTTCCCGGCTCCCGCCTGGGCACACCCGGGCCCCCTCCCGCCCGGGGAGCCCTCCCCGGGGCGCCGCTCCTGTCCCCTCAGGAGGTGCGCGCTGCGCTGCGCTATCGCCCGCGCCTCCGGCTTTCACAAACTTTCTCCAAAAAGCGACCGCCCGCCCGCCCACCCAGGGCTCCTGCAACCCCGCCGGCTCCCCACCTGCGGCTCCCCACCCACCTGAGGGCTGGCTCTTCCTCCCTGAGCGAAGCCGGAGCCCCGAAGTGCGAGCTCTGAGCCGCGAGGGGAGCGCAATCCGTGGGGTGCGCGCGCGCGGGGCGGGCCGGCGCCTTCCTCCCTGCCAGCCCCGCCCCCGGCGGCCCCGCCCCGCCCCGCGGCAGCCCCAGGACCAGGAGGAGGGGATCCCTGCACCCCAGAGCTGTGCGCATCAGCCAGCCAGGCGCTGGGGACAGGGTTTCTCCAGGATAACGGGGACTGGGACAGCCACTCGGAGGGCATGGTCTGCCTACGTTTTCTTTTGTGCAGCCCCCATCCCTCCCCTCCGCCCCTAAAACCCCAGCCTGGACCAGAAGACCGCAGCCTGGCCCCTCCCTCAGCAGCCCCTGTCCCTCCAGCGGCCCCAAGGAGACTGGAAGAGAGAAGGTCCCAGTGAGGTGCACAGGCACCTCTCCCTGGAGTCAGCAGCCCCCGGCTCACCCTTGGCTCTGAGGCCACAGAGGCTCCCTGAAGGGCCCTTTCCACAAGGCCGTGTGTGGAGACCGGGGCTTCCCCGTTGCCCGGGTCAACTTGATTTTTATGGATCCAGCCGGCGACAGCCCAGCCAAGGCCGAAGGGCAGAGCCTAGTCCCAAAGTGCTGACAGTACTGGCCCCAAACAGCCAGCCCAGACCCTGAGGGCCAGCCTCGCCGGGAAGAGTTGGGCAGAGCCAGCCTCGTCCCCAGGGCCATAGCTCATGTGGCTGTGCACCCTGATGGGGAGCTGAGGTCCGCAGAGCCTCGTGCTGTTGAGGAAAGTTGTACGTTTGATTACTCACAGTAGAAAGACAGGCTCAGCCCCCGCCCCACCCCCAAGGCCCTGGAGGGTTGGGGCGAGGGCCCCGGCTCCGTGCCCGCCCTCCCTCTCCTGAGGGCCGGCCTGTCACTGCAGGGCGAGGTGTCTGCCCCAAACACAGCCGACTGGGGGCTGAGGGTCGTGCTGGCGGAGGCCGCTCCCAGGCTGTCAGACCCCGTGCAGGGAAGAGATGCTCACGGCTCTGACTGCGCTTTATTTATAGGTGGGATTTAGGCACATACATGACACACACATGTACAGGGCCATCCAGACTCTGGGTTTTGGTTGAAATAACCTCTGGATGCGTTCAAGTAACACTGATCAACTCATGTTCCAAAAACATTTAATAAACTCGGAATAAAACGGTGACGTATTTATAAGCGACCGCCGGCCACGCAGGTTTCCACGTACAGTGGGGAGGGCGCAGACGCGGAAGCGGAAGGCTCTGCTCGCTCCTGGGAGCCGGTATGTACACGGCGAGGCAGCAGCAGGGGGCCTCTCGCCTGCAGGACGGAGGCCGCGGCCGCGGCCGCGTGAGGCGGGCTCCGCGCTCAGTGTCCCGTGAGATAGTCCTGCGTGGAGTCAGAGGCGAAGGAGTCCACGTCCTCGTTCTCCGAGTCCTCGCTGCTGTCCTCGGCGGCCGGCTCGCCGGTGAGGGCGATGCGGGCGTAGTCGTCGGTGTCGATGGACTTGCAGAAGTGGATGGCGTACTTGAGCTTCTCCTCCAGCACCTGCCGGCAGGAGTAGCGGGGCAGCTTCAGCAGGAAGAAGCAGGTGTAGGACTCGGGCAGGAAGTGGTCGGGCGGGCTGTACTTGTCCAGCACCTGCAACGGGAGCAGAGCTCCTGAGGGACGGTCCGTCCGCGGGCCGCGGCTCCCAGCCCGCAGTGCAGAGCAGTGGTTACCGTGACGACGGCTGTGCAGGATCAGGCTGTGGGAGGCCCCTCTCCCCCCGGGACCACCTATGTTCAGTGAGAATGAGGACCCATGGCTGACGGACCCCGAGGCCCGGGGGCAGCCTGGCCGTCACCCAGCGCCCGGCCTCACCCGGGAGGGACCGAGGACTCGCACTGAGCAGAGCTGGGCTCTCGTTCCGACGAGCCCGGGGGCTCGGGTCCAGGGAGGACCTGGCTGTGCGCGGGGCCCACGCTTCCCGCGGGAGGAAGGGCGCCCACCTGGATGACGAAGTCGCGGCCCCGGAAGTCGGCGATGGTCCGGGGCAGCCGGGTGCGGCCCCACACGAAGCGCAGGAAGAGGGAGCGCTCCGTGGTGGAGAAGGCCTCCATCACCTCCCAGAACCACTGCACCAGCGGCGCCGACGGCTCCACCCCCTTGTAGGTGGCCACCGACTTGAGCAGGTGCAGGGGGATGTCCGGGCTGCCGCACACCTGGGCAACATCCGCGTCCGTCCGTCACTCGCCGCCCGCCCACTGCCCACCACCACCCACCACCCACTGCCCACCGCCCGCTGCCCACTGCGCACCCACCCACTGCCCACCCACCCGCCGCCCGCCACCCAGGCCGGCGGGGGCAGGGCACGAGGGGGCCCGGGAAGGAGGCGGGAGGCTGGCTTCCTGAGCGGAGCACCCGGACCGCGAGGGCACGTGAACAGGCGGGAGGGCTCGGGGAGGGGGCCCACGGAAAGGCCTACCATGGTCTCCAGCTCGTAGCCGGTGAAGAGCGAGAGCAGGGGCACGGGCACCACGCGGGCCATGCCCTCCCGCACGGCCGCCACCTGCTCGTCGAACTCGTGG